CTCAAATGTCCAAGTCGGCGTCACTGTAGCTGTCAAACAAAATCCCTACAACTTATTCCTGAAGTTCGTCGATATCGTCCCACACAATTTGGACTTAGCACTTTTAATCCACGGATTTTGCAGTCTGTCAGCTTGGCACTTTTCATTCATGTCTAATCATAATAAAGAGACAAGAAAAATGGAGTCGCTCTGCTGCGATGACACACAATGCTTTTGTTTACAGTCAAGCAATCATCTTTGACCTTTATGCATCTGCTTTACTGATTGGCTAAGAATGACATCACTACTAGTATTTCATCATAAAGGTCAAATCGTGACATTGCTTTCTTAACGGTCTCGACGCTTATTAATCATTCAGCAAGTTTCGGCGGTTGGAATGTTTTACTATATGGATATCGCGGTTGACTTGAAATAGGACTTTTTTTTATCCAACGACAAAAGAATATTTTTCATGACAGAAATGCAATAGCGGTGATAAAAGATGGTAAAAAAGTTGGCAGTCTTCGGCGTGACATTGCAAAATTGCTGGTCCCAGTTATGGATTCGCAAGCTGCTACAAAATATTTAACATAGTTGAACTCTGGTGACCTTGCCCTTTGTTATATAATATAATTCCCTTTATCATAGTTTGTTTCAATATAAATACATTGTATGCATTGTCATAATTAATTTTGAATACTAACAAGTTTTGGGGTTGAACCAACAGTGGGGAATCAGTCTACCCAATGTTCTTAAAAGATGTAAATATCTTACAAAAACATTGGTGCCTTATTTGTTTAATTATTTTAAGGAACATAATTTCCAGCTTTATTGAAAGTAATTGAGATATTTTAGAATAAAAACAAATGTCTCATTGCAAAAAAAAAGTGCTGCATTTAGATGTGAAGATTCATAAAACATGCAAGATAACAGAAAAATTTAGCTGGCCAAGTATTTTGTACAGGTGTCTGTCAAAAATGAACTGCCTCATTGTGTGACTACTGTATTATATGAAAAGTAAAAAAAAAACACCCTTTATGAATAGCTATCATGTTGCAAGCTCTGCTTTGTATGCAAATCAACTTAAATAGTTGGTGTCCAGTGGAGGGAGAAGTCAACAGTACTGTTGCCTCCTGAGAAACTACATCTTCAAACATTGCAATCTCTGAAGTGCGTTTTTAAACTAGTATTATAAAAACTCTATCATTCTGTTCTAATAGCTGAAACATATTCCTGTGAGTTTTCATTTGTCGAATGAACTGTTTGTCAAATACAGAATACATATATTTTAGAATAATTTTCTTTTTAAAATGTGAATGAAATGTTTTGCTTTTAATGTATTTTTTACGTATTGTTTTTGATTTGATAACTTTGAACTAAACAGATTTTCTATTAGCTTCAGATCTTGATCATAGTTAGGCACCTAGTTCAT